CCCCCCCCCCTCTCGACATTTTTTCACTTTGATGTTCCCCTCTGTGAAGCCTTTATTCAACTAAAGGGCTAATGATAACCATCAAAACGCCTGCCATTTGATATAAATATAAATAAATGTTCCTCCCCCTCTGTGAAGCCTGATGTCAACTAAAGGGCTAATAGTAACTACCAAAACGCCTGCCACTTTATATAAATATATATTACTTATATTGCATCAAACTTCAACTCTTAGGTTTCATGCATTGTTTATGAGTTATTACACTTATAATATCTTGCTTAACCATTATCACTGATCTAAGAACACCGCCCAAAGCTACTTGGGTTTCAAATAGAGACCCTTCTAATTGTGAAAACGCATTTTTGTATATTTATTATATGGTCCGTCCTTTTAATATGATATAAAGACTCAAAATGTTGATAAAATGTCAGAATCAGAGCACCACTTAGTACAAATGGAAACTCTTGCAACAGCTATTCATCACACAGAAAACGGTAACAGTACATTACATGAGTTGCGAGAAGTAAAATGTTTATGCAATCATATCTGCTGTTTCCTCGATGCACCAGCTTAGGATGGTTTTGCGCTTTGAAGAAGCGTCAACACTTTCAACCTCATGTTCATGCCTTTTTAATCAAAGAACCAGATTTCCTTCTAACCAGATTTTCGCCTAGTCTAAGAATTCTGATCCAAACAAGCCATTAATCACCTCACATGGAATAAGTAGTGTAAAAGGCCATTGAAATGTGAATCAAGACGGTCCTACTTGCAATTTGTCAGTAGGCGCTCATGTAGCGTACACCTAAGCTCTCTTTATGGACTCGAATTTCGTTCCCCATGCCATTGGTGTATACCCTCGAAGAGCCTCAGTAGGATTTTTTGAAGTATATTTTCGGACAGTTCCCTAGCCAATAAGTTACTTCCAAAGCCAACACGGTCAGATAAGCAGAGGCAAACCAACAGGCATTATCCTCAACCGTGATACCCAAAAACTGGCTAAAAACCGAAACACAAATTTATAAAATCATAGCCTTTTCACATATCTTATTCACGATCTATAGCTGCCAAAAATTACAAACTAAGAACAAAAAAAATACAAAAGTTTAAAAATAAACAAATATTCTACTTTAACTTGAAAAGTTCTGTTCAACCACAAAGCGAATAAAGTAATAAGTTCAGACACAATGAATCTATTTTCCAATTAAATTGTATTCACAGATTATATAACCATACAATAGATGCTTAGGTGGGTTTGAAATTTGAATTGGGTCCACGTCGGCGAGCCCCAATAGTAGGCACCATGGCGAAGAAACGACGATTATATTGCATGCGTCTCTTTGCTCGTCCTCTTGGCTTCTTCTTTTTGTCCTGTTTCTCCACCTTTGGAGTTTGACCACGGACTTTACCGGCTCGAGCCAATGAACCATGCACCTTACCTTAAAAACCTGCGTAAATATTTAATAATTAAACATACCACCCAACACTGGAACAATGACGTCTATAGCGCTATCAGCTGAAAGATCACAAAGAAGGGTGTCATTGGCAAGTACTGATGATCCATTAAATAGTTGAATATCCTCAAGAGGAAGACCATCCTCGGAAGCCAAAAAGCATTTCAAATCAGCTGCAGAGTGGCAGACGGATGTGTCAACAACACGAGTATCAAATGAGCGCACAATAAGCTGCATTATCGTTGAACTCACTATACATGCACCAATAGTGGCGCTAAAGCTTGATACAAAGCATTATAAACAAAGTCAAGAAAATGAATAATTTGCTACATCTTGGCTTAATATACGAATGCATAATATTTATAAGGATTAAAATTTTTAGAAAATTTATTATTATCTCATTATTTAAAAGTGAAATATATACATTTATTAATCAATTAGTTTTGATTTTGTTTTTCCATCACTTAACAGTATAATGCTTAACTAAAAATATTTATTGATAGTTGATTTATTTTTCCTTTTTTCAACACTTGCCGTCAGTGGCTATTTTCTTTATTCCTATTTTGAAAAATTAACATAGCACACATTATCATTATAACCTTCTAATCTTAAAATTATTTGCGGATCCACCTGAGTTTGCATAATTTGTGTTTTTTATTCATGTTTAAAATTTTACGCAGTTGGTAAATTTGGGAAAGTTAGCACTAATCCCAGAAAAAGTATCATGTTATGAGAGAAAGCAACATTTAGAAGTCATCATCGAATAGAAGAATATATTTTTTCATTGGCAGAAAATATAAATTAAACTATAGCCATCGGAAGTGATAACCTCTCAAAAATAGCAATCATAAGCAGGATGTATGCATGCATTTAGTCATGGATGACCTTTTAAATGTCTATTATCATTGGTAGACATCGGAAATCAGACATAGTTGACGTCTTACAAAGAGTTGTTACATATCAAAACATAATTTTAATTACGGTTTGAAAGGTTGGAAGCTCCAACGTTTGAAAGCATGCGTAGTCACAAATATGTAAGGGACCAGAAAATTAAAGAAAGTAAAACGATAATGAATGAACGAGCAAGCTATGCTGAAATATTTATTTCATTAAAAGATTCACTTCAAAATAATTATTTTTCAGTATATTAATTGCGGTTGAATTTTTGCGTAATTTGGCATGCGCATAAGAGTTAAATATATCGATAATTGTTTGTTCTTAGATAATATGTGTAATTTCAATTAAGTTATATTTGGAAACACGAATATTACATTATTATGTTCTTTTAACTGTTTTAACTTAATTTTGGGGAACCATTAAATGAAATATATAAGTTCTCGTAATCCAGACAATATTTTGAATACATTACTTCTTTTTGCGTAAGTCTGTAGGAGGGAAGTTAAGCATAATTAAAAGAGTTGCGATTACAAAACAAATAAACCCTTGTCCAAAACCTAGCACTTTAGTAAAATTTTTCACCTCCAACGTTAGTCAGGCAAAGCAATGAGAATAGAGTGATTATTGAATCTAAAAAATTTCTTAAAAATGGACGCACTGAAGAAAAAATTTAATGAGTAAATTAACCACGAGTACTTTCCCGTTTTCATTCATTTTATCATCAAATTTAAGTAATTAGTACAAGCTGAACAGGACGGAACGTATTTATGTGATTTTGAAAATCTCCCTGTATTTACCAAGTGTAAAACCCATCGAATTTTTATTTCTTAAATTAATAATAAATTATCATATAGATCAAAGAGAAAATACCAGGAAATCTACTTTGGTTAAACCTTTTATGCATACTGAAGTTGCTTCACGATTTCGTTTAGATGCTTGAATTGACTGATCCTCGATGTGCGAATAAACTTACTCTGAAGAAGAGCTGGTTTTGAAATTATTGGAATGATCGATCAAACGTCGCACAATTATCGACCAAGTCCAAATGAGATTGAGCAAATTAAAGCGTCAGAAATTTTGAATCGACGTAAAATGAGAATTTTACGGGTAATAGTGTTAAAATTGTTTGACTATATCATAGGTCCGTCACCTGTCGAAAATACATTCCTCTCTTACAAGGAAATTATATACTGAAAAGCTACAGATGCGTTTGTACCAAGAAGCTCTAAACTTACGAAGGCAGCAAATTATTAGTGATAAAATGCTTCTTCGTAAGAAGCAAAGAGCCCTTGATTCTGTAATGGGAAACTTCGGTAATGCACACCAAGCTGCGTCTTCCTGGGTAAATTCAAATGATGGAAATTTTTTCTGTGTAATTTTATTTGACATTTTTCCGTAATCTGTTACTTGTCTATTTCAAAAATATGTTTTCTCTATGGAGTACTTAATGTGATGTCATATTATTTCCATTAATGTAGAAAGATCCCATTCTGGAGGAAGAAAAAAGGCAAATTACATCGGAACTAGCTGAACAAAAGCGATATGAGAAGGCTCGTAATGATTTAATGTTGGATCGGGCTAAATCTCAACGAGAAGCTGAAATGAGACGCCTGTTTAGAGAAACTGCATTGGAAACAGAACGCAAACGTGCGGCTGCTGTAGCAGCACTTCCTTCTCCCCAACCTGATCCTCTCGAGCCACACTTTAAGCAAAATAGCACTGGATGTATGCTCTGTCCACGTAAGACTGAATACGAATCTACTCGAGTCAAAGTTTGATTTTTTACAAGTTAGTTTGTTTTTATAATAGCAGTTCGTTTAGCTCACAGGTTTCCGTAGAATTTGAGGTTTAATAAAAAAAAGTGAAATCGCTAATGGGTTCAAACATTAAGCCGCTATTTTCCATTGAATGTAATGGATTTGGCATGCTATTGGCAGTTCTAACGTCTGATGTACGTTTCTAGTTTTCTGAGTCTAAATTTTCCATAAGTATGGTATTTGTTTTCAGAGAATTATGTTCACATATGCTTTAAATTTAACCTTTATCTGCTTCTGAATATAAAATTATCCCACTGGTGATAGACTTGATTCAGTGAGGTCACATGCATCTTCCTAGATCTTATATGTGCTTGGAAGATTGTGAGGAATGTTTGTACTAATGAAATAACTAAGATCTGTCCATTTTATTTTTAACGATGAATATATTTGCGTTTATAAAAGTTCTATTTTCTGTTGCTTTTACTATTTTTGCTAAATAAATTAAAGTTTGTAAAGGCATTAAACCCGAGAAGGCTGTATGATAAATGAGGGTAATGTAAGAACGGGGAAAAGATGTTTTTCTTCAAAAAGGTCATTTTATGCAAGTCCTCTTTTTGATGTTTCAGTCTAATTGTATATCCTTAAACAGTCTGTAGCTTTGTTATTCCTAAGCCTCATTTTACGTCCTGATTATTACTTTAATTGCGATTGAAATCATTTCAAAAATTCTTTTGTCATTTAAAAGAAAAGGATTGTAGTAATCTAAAAAAATTTAGCTAGTATTTTGGCGAAGGTCCTCAGGTGAATCTTGCCATTAAGATCAATTTATCCTCATCAATTGGCATTGTTTGATTGTCATTTTACTTTTATATTATTAACATCGCGATTGGTCACGGAAAATTGGTTTATAGAGTAACTTTGGCTCAGAGGTTTAAGTGCTTATCAGCGTACACAAATCCAACTGGTTAAGGCTTGGAAGTTAAAAAGCATTAAAAATATTCCGTTGTGGGGAATAGATTTCACTCTTTATTTGACTTTACTAACTTTCAGGAGTGAAATCGAAGGAGTATCATTTAATAGTTGAAGTGGACAGCCCCAAACAACAACAGAATTTAACTAGTGGAGGCGTTAGAATGAGGATCGAGAAGGGTCAGTGTGATGTGAAAGTAAGTCGTTGTACTGGAACAACCTCGGAAAATGCCGGAAATGCTTTCGATGCAGCACTTGCTGAAAATGAACGTATTGAAATTGAACAACAAAGGACTGCTCGTATTGCAGCTGAGGCTTCCCTGAAAGCCCGAATTCGGGACCAATTAGCTCTCAAACGGTGAGTCTAAGCAATAATTCATAACTCCGTTGAACGAAATCGAATCTTTTAAGAGGTATGGTTTACATAGGTATTTATTAAAGAATATCCGAGATTTTACAATGTAGAATGAAAGGAAATAAAGGTCTATAGGAGTATGAAGGACAGAAGACTAGTCCAGGAAACACTAAGCTATATAAATGTCTAATTTTCTCTCATCTGGAAGTCGTCTACATGACATCAGGCCTATGTATGAAGTAGATTCCCAAATTCCATAGTCAAAATCTCTTTATCATTTAACTAATTATACCCTCACAGCTTTAGCCTTTGCCTTTTTAATGTTAATATTTTAGATTTCCACGTCTTAACTAAATGTACCATAGGATTAAATCGAGAATATTTACTTTTAATCTAAGGAATACTTGTGTGCATAAGCATGAAATATCCTCTAATGTTTAATTTATGTACTTATAGTGTACAAGCGATGCAAGAATACCAACAGTTAGTTCAACAAATAGATCCGATTCCTACTAGTTATTCTTATAAAACCCATCCTACTTTGTCCGCCGAGGAATTCTTCAAGCATCAAGTAAATTGAATTTCATAATGGTAACACCTGATCTTGCTTCCGATTGATATTACTGTTCAGAATCTTATTTTACAGGAGGGGAGATATCTCTGCTCTGATCTGGCTCGATTAGGACCAGGTGAACGCGATTATCTCCCACCCCTCATGATATCAGTTCAGCAGGGCACTTCCTTCGAACAACCCCAATCGTCTCATATTCCTGAACAATCAATTAAAGAAGAAACTCCGCATAATTCTATCATATCTATGGATCAAATTAGAGAAGACTCTCAAGAAACTAGCCAATATGCGCTTAAATCAGAAAATATCCGTTCTGACACAGGCTCTGAAATCGCAGAGTTAGAAGGTGGTCGCCAAATAGTCTCAGATAAACGTCGTCAACTCTCAGATTATGAAAGAAAAAAGATGGAACTCGAGTAAGGAATAATCAACTTGCTCATCTGATCTTTAATTCGAATCACTTATTTTTTTATTATTATTGTCTCAATTGTTTCCAGCTCTGAAGTTGAGTGCTTGGATAGAGAGATTCAAGAGATACGTGAGTTATATACAAATAATATCCAAACGAATTTGCATACTCAAGGAATTGGGGAAAAGCTCCCACCACAAGAGCCTATATCGGAGTCGCGTTTACGAATGTCGGATGAGGTAATCTCTATGTCTATGCACGTGTATATGTTGATGCGAGTAAACGCCCATTGGAGAGGATGAGTCAACGCAATGAGTGTTGCTTAGCTAAATATAATTAACGCGTTAGGGACTAATTTTGTCAGATGTCAAGGCATATCGATGTCTTTTAAAATGTACCACCCCTTGAGTGAAACAAAAGAAAAATCAACACTTCAAAGAATTCTAGCCTTCAACATCCATCTATGCGCGTTTCTAAACCTTAAATGGATGTCCTAGATATCGATTTGTTAAAAAGTATAGTTTACTCAAAATTGATATATCTTACAGGGTATTTATCGATTTTCGATGTTTGAGGTTACTTTATTTATCCGATAACGACATAAGTTGGAGATCAATCAATTACATTAATTACTTAATTTTGAGAAAGGGGAGTGAAGTAAAGTTCAGAAACAAGACTTTTATTTTATGAGAATTTCTTCAAATCCAAGGCTTTTAGATGTGCTTGAAAAGATAACAAATTTTTAGGATTAAATTTATTGGCTTCGTTTGTATTCTTTTTAGTTACGTAATTGAAAGTCATTAGTATTGACTACAATTTGGTAAACTAATTTAATTAGAGAAGTATATAAACGCTAGGCTTAGAAGGTATCTGAAATCTGATTAGAAGCACAGGAATATAGGTTCTGGCGTTAAGAGAACCATTTGGGTCTTTGTTAACTGAATGACTAACAAACTCTTCTTTTTACTCCCCCTCAATCCTCTTACATCTTTTTGGTAAGTCCTAGTGCGTACATTTTAGCCCTCTTAATCAAAATTAGCTGACGTTTCGATGGTCAAATTTTTGAATGGAATGATTGAATGTGCATACATGTACTAATATTGCTCTAAATCGAATGAACTTATGCTTTCGGTAATTGCATGAACTTAACGAACCGTTTTGACACTCTTTTTGTCCCTGTATTATTTTACTCAATCATAAATTTTTTTCTTTTTGAACAGCCAACCATATTGGAGTCTACAGAGCATCGTTTAGATGAAATAAATTTTCGCGCAATAAGCAATAATGGTGATAATGAGGTCCACAAGACTGAGCCTTATCTGCGACCTTCCAGTGATGTTAATGAACAATCCCATTCAGTTAAGGTATGCTTTTTTTCAAGTCGCATTCCACTTACAATGGCTAAAGATAGTTTTATTTTCGTCAGGAGAACCCTAAAGTACATAGAAGCGTGATATTTATCGTTAGCACTGGGTGGCTTAAAGCTTCTTTTAAGTCATCAAGTAACAAGGAAGATTGTTACTAAAGCTTAAATTAAAACCCGATCAAGGCAAATCGGTTTAAAAGCCAAGAAACACATTGGTTTGTCCGCCAACTATGACTATTGTCAACTTTGAATGCGTAAATTCTAACCTCAAAAACTTCGTACAAAAATGGATCAGTCCGCAAGATAGGAAACAGTGTCCCTGTACTATAAGTAACATCGATGTTTCTCATATACAAGGTTAAAAAATTGCCAGCGCCATTAACGTGTAGTTACTTAAAGTTTGAAAATGGCAAGTGTGATTGAACTGCCAAATATGAGAATGCCATCAACTTGGTCTATCCCAATGATCCATGTAAGAGACATGAGGGCATTTTCTTTCTAACTGTAAGGAGAAGTAACTATTCCGAGTCACATGGACCGAGTCTCCCTATACTTTCCTAAATATCTTTTCACAACTATTGCTGCGCTTTCGCTTTTCCAAATAGCATCTTCATAAATTAACTTGGTTAGCGACTTAATCGGGAGTGGATATCATCCCGCGGGTGGGGGGGGGGGAGGGGAGGTTATTATAACATCACATGACGATAGGTTGGTCAGTTATAGAAGTATCTCAAAGAGGACTTTACGCCTTGCTAAATTTTTATCCGTCGAAATATGACATTCGAATAATTGCTCCACATATCCATTTTTCTCCATATTATTTGACTCAAAGATGAGCTGGAAGGTTACTTATCTCTTCCTTTAGCCATTTAGAGTTGATCGATGAACTAATCATCAATATTGCTTTGCGCGAAACTAATTTTTCACCATAAGACTAATTTAAATTATTGTGTTCACTTAAATGTAATCCTGTTTAGATTCAGGCAGACGAAATTCTAAAGTTGGACACAACTACTGCTGAACGGGCTCAGGAATCATTTGAATCTTCTGGTTCTATGATTTTGACCGACAGCCCTCCCAGTACACCTAGCATAAAAAATGCGGAAAGGAACACTTTTACAGCAACAGAGACCGTCAAGACTAAAATCTTTCCTATATCAGAGTCTCTCCGGCGCCGCGCAGCTGAATTAATTCATCGTCAAAAAGAGCGTATTCGCAGCCTGAAGGAGGATACCATACTAACTCCTCCTTCCTCAGGGATATCCTCCGGGAGTTCAACTGATTTTGAGCTACCACCTCCTCCGTCGCCACCACAGAATGAGTGCGAATCTTCGTCGACGACCATTTCTCTGAACTCACGTCTATCGCCCCATTTATATGTCTCAACTCCTGTTGATATATCGTTAGATTCTTCTGCTAAGCCAGTGATTGATGATCAATCAGGAGTTGAACAGACGGCTAGATCTGTCCCAACTAAGCAGAAAATTCTTCAAAATTATCTTACAGTATGTTATTGCAATATTTGTTATTCCTTTGATTTGTTCCGTTGTTGACTATTTTACGTCTACAATTCAGTTAGGTACTTTTCTAAACTCTATTTCAACATTAAAAAATACAAGATACCCAATATTGTAAATATAAAGACTATAGAAACATTTATTTATATCAAATGACAGGCTTTATGATAGTTATCATTAGCCCCTTTAGTTGACTTCGGGCTTCACAGATATGAGGAACAGACATAGTCACAAATAACCGAGAAAGGGGGGTGGGAAGGAAGAATTATACACAAATGTAAAGAGAGACAGATGGAGAGAAAAAGGTAAGTTGAGTACTGTGGAAGTGGTGGGATATGACATACAGTCATGGTGTTTTGAAGTCAGAAGTCAACTGCCGCTTTATAGACTTTTTGACTTATGAGTATACTTTGCTCAGGATGTATCACGTGGAGGTGAGTCTATCGCACACCCCACCACGGAGACATTGAAGACAAGAAAAACACAGCAAATTTTCGCCTTGATAGCTACTAGTTCTCTCTTTTTTAATTTTAGCAGTTGTTGGGGTCTTATGAAGGAAAGGTGGCTCCCTTAGCTTCGGATGATTCCAGCGACATATTTGTGACTCACAGTCAATCAAATAATAGCTTCGTTCCTTTTGGCGTGTCGAAACCTCCGAAATTTGCAATCACAAATCTCTCAGTGATTACTGAGGAAGATACTAGTTTGCACTCAAATTTAACCAGTATTCGAGGAGGAGTAGCATCAATTTCACTTGACTCCTCTCGTTCCAATTTAGATAATAACAACGCCAGCAACCTATCTTCAAGAAATGCAAAAGTAGCTGAACCTAGTGAGAATGAGGTGGAAAATGAATCTGCTGTTGCGCTTTCACCTCTTCTACTGGGTTTAACACATTCTGAGTCAGATACCGCTCTTAAAACCAGCTCATCTGGCCATTCCCCTTGTCACTTTACCGAACTATCCTCGTTATCATCAAGTGTCAGCAACTCTACAGACAATAGAGAGATCATTCATCACTCATGGCTATCTTCTCTTCGTGAAAAAGAACCATCTGTGGCAGTTTCATCCATTTCTATAAGTTCAACAAATTCCAAACCAGATCGTTCGATCAAAATCGGTTGTTCTGATCAGAAACTAGACCATTTGGTGGAAGAATTATCACTTCATTCTTCATCGAATTCACAAAGTAACAGTGAGTTGGATTTGACTTCAATGTCTTCTGGGTCTATGAAGAGGAAAATTGCTGTTATAAAACCGAAAGGTAATGAACCTCGACAACAGACTCCCTCCAGTAGTTATTCCAGCCCTAGTGTAAATCACCCTACTCCTTCTCATCGAAAAATAGCTATTTTAAATCCTGCTAAAGTATCCCAGTCAGGAGGTGTTCAAGGTATTACTAAATCGAATTTGGTCCAATCGGATTCGGTGAGTGCTTTTTCTTCCATTATTACTAATGTTATCCCTATTGCTACCATCATTATTGAATTTTACATTACGAAACACACTTTATTAGGTTTTTTTCAAGGGATGGCGCTCGAATAATGTAATAATTTATGGCACGGAAAGGAGTTAGAAATTGGACTGTGAATTCAGGCTACCAGGAATCTTATTTTATTTAGGTTCTACGGCTTTGAGCCCACATAAAGTATATATATAATCCTTTGAGCAATGTCTAATATTCACAGATCGATGATCAGTTCATTTGGTTTCGCGGTTGGTCACACCACTTCCATTTTTCGTTGACGAAGTTGTTACCTAATGATATTGTGTATAAGAAGCATAATGAAAACAACATTTCCAGCGTTTTCACCTTTTAGCATTGTAATTTAGACAGGAATCCGCATCGGTTTCCCACGTCTTGCATCAAATCTTAAAAATACCAGGTTAGAAATTGTTACGAAGGCACAAGTTTACTTGAATAATGCCATTTCGAGATTTTATTAGAAAGTGGATTGATAGATTTCGCAATCTCTTTGAAGCCAATAGGATAAGGTGACCTTTTTTAACAAACGCCATAAATTGTTCAATTATTATACATTGTATTTTTATTGTCCTCTTGTTTTAATACCCACAAAAGAGTTCGACTTTTTCCAAATTTTATTCTGAAACCAAAATTCTTTATCAGCACAAGAATATGAAGGAGTTAGGGATAAGAGATGGAGTTTTGTTAGCATGTGATCTTATGCAGATTATATATTAAGCTCAGAAGGCAATATTTTTTACTGTTAAGATTGTAGGAAAACTGCTGGCCTTATTTCAAACAACAAGCAATTAATTGATAAAATGATGGTAGATTTAGCTGCAGCATTATTTTTTGTATATTATTTCTTTTGAAAAGGGAGCCTATTCATCGGCGAATTTTCAACTGTGGAGCAATGAATCTGTTGTCTTCTCTGGTAGTTCAAATGACACCCTGATGATGGTTAAATCCCCAACGCCAGACGCTGCTGATGGTAGTTGTATTATTAACAGCCCCACAGATCTTACTTGTACTCCATCTCCTAACCGAAATGGAATTTGGTTCAAGAGTGCCAAATACAACCTTCAGTGTCTTGGAAGTGGAGAATCCCCACAAATTCTCGCAAATTCTCTTGAGACAGTTAGCACCCTAAATTCATCCAGTCGTCCGTCGAATCAATTCAGTATTCTGTCTTCTGCTTCGTCGGCACGCAAAACTTCTCCTCGTAAGTTTTAATATACTAACATTAGTTTAATTTTGGTCATTAATGCAATTCTCACTGCGCTTGAAATAAGTAGTGACTATCTGGAAAATTATTATACCCATCTACGTTGTTTATGTAAAATAGATAACAAAATGATCCATTATTGTTTGTAAAATAGATACGAGTTGAATTTTATGGAGGAGCTACAATTGGCCCTTCTTTGTTAATAACATTTTCATGGACTTTCATGATCGAAAACTTTAATTCTCTTTTCTCGTCATGGGTAAGTAGTTCACGATCCGTTTTAAACAGCCTGGTGTTGGAAGAAATCTGACATTAGATAATAATGGCTATATCAATCCATCTTCATTTCTGCAGGGCGTTTAGAAATAGGGCTTCATAAATGGACAAATTATTTCCGACACTATATTCTTATAATTCACAGCAAGGCAAAACATTTCGCAAATTTTTACTGTCGAAAAAAACTAATCTCTTAAAAGCCAATTCAGTACAAGGCATGAGGAAGGGATCTAGAAGTTGGTGATAGTAAATTGGAGCCGAAAATATTGTTGTTCAAATTATATCAAATAGATATTTCATGTTGGACAATTCAAAATTTAATGTTGCCTCTTGTCTTATTGACTAATCATGATAACTGAATCCACTTTTTTTCTTCTAAAGGACACTTATCACGTCTTACATGATTTTACCATAGCGAAGCAAAATTTTCTTGAAACATGTTAAAATGATTAAATCGACCAAATAAATTGGCATATTATTAATATTTGGGTCTAAGCAATTGTGAAGCTAATATTTCTATATTTCCTCACTGAATTTAGTATTAACTATCCCTCTGTAGCCACCACTCTTCATATTCTTCGAAATGAGCATTCATTGGATCTTCAAGGGGGTTCATCTAGATCAAGTCAACAACGCCAAACCTCCGTTAGCACACTGGCACTTCTTAAACGCCAAGACGAGCCGTTATCTCCCATTTCTAGCGATTTATCTTCACTTCTATTTACTAATAACTCATCTTCCTCATCTTCCTGCAAAGATGAATTAACCTCCGAGAAAATTAAATCACCAACGGTCAATCGGACACAAATTCAAACTGAAATGCACGATCAAGCAATGCCACGAAGTTCTACCGAAACTGAGAGTACCCCGAATACATCAAGCCGCCCATCAGACCTATTTGATGTTCTTTCATCTGCTTCTTCTCCGTGTAAGTTTGGAGCATATAATATTGAATAATTAAGAATTCCTGTATTGTAACATTCTTTTAAATCTCCTAGGTGAAGCTTCTAATCATCCACGAAATTCAAATACCTCCACGACCCTTGAAATTCTACGAGAAGGGTTGTCATCCGACGGCCAAACAAACTCCTATAAATCAAGTCAACAGGGTTCTACAACTGCCAGTACATTAACTCTGCTCAAGAGACATAGAGAGCCATCTTCATTTCTTCGTAAGTCTGCCATTTAATGGCTATAATAATACCAAAATCACAGCAACTTAACCCCCTTTTCCTTTTCATAGAAAGTGATCTGAATAATCTTGATAATTCTCCTGCTGCTACAACACTTAGCATTCTTCGAGAAGGACTATCTACAACAGATATTCAAAACGCAGCAGAAACATCAAGTCAATTACAGCGCTGCACATCCGCTAGCACTTTAACACTGCTTAGAAGGCATGAATTCTCGTCCATTTTGTGCTCTAATAACTCAAACGATAAAAAGAAAGCAGAGCCTTTTAGGCAAAAGTCCCCAGCTTTCAAGACAAGACGTCAGGAGTCCGCACAAAGTTCCGGAACAACTCGTAAATACCAACCACGTGAATCATTCAGATCAAGTTCGTATTGGAGTACTACGGAAACTAGTTTGAAATGCAATTCTTCCCCAGGTTGGCAGGAGACAGAATCTGATAGTTCGTGTGGTAATTTAGACAACGCTACCTTCTATTCAACGATTGATGTTTGCTTCACGACTAATGTTGTAAGTTATCGAGATATGTTCCACTTAAATGACCGCTTATTTCATGCATTAATCAAAGTAATGCATTATCTCTTTAGTCAAAAACTTTGAAAGAATCCGGAGAGTGTGATGAAACGGACTGCGAAGATGAAATTACTATGACGTCGTGTTTATCGTGTGATTCCTCTTTGGAACAGGGTAGATGTCATGAGGAGGATAGTGTAGCTTGTGCAATCGAAAATGTCCTCAATGCTTCCCAATATCCTCTTGATGGTAGGAAGGCTACTCGTTTCTACTCTGCTACTTCCTGTAAAGCTATTGAGGTAAATAAACACATCTAGTAATTCTGTTCGTTATCACCTGCATCGCTTGTCAAATAAATAGGTGGGGGCCGAAATTTTACTTTCTTATGAATGTAAGAATTAGCACATAATGAATGAGGGAGAGAAAGCTATTTGAAGGCAAACGAGTAAGTATATTGAACATGTGGGCAATATGATATGTGACTCATGATTAAGCATAGTTTAAAAATGTGCTTTTATCATATTGGAACTCAATCTCCCTATCTGGTTTGCACAAAACCATATTTGATTGGCTGGTACGTTTTGAGTGTAAGGTACTCAGGGGAGGGGCATGTCATGGTGGAATGCCACTACCTGCGCTTGGTTTAATTTTCTAATCGAGATGCATAACTTCAATTCCTCCCAAGTTCGTAAAAGAAGGCCTTAAAACACTTAATTTAGTGAGAGTGTATCATTGAACTGATTCTTTGTGAAATTTGCATTCTACCTTTCTTGTTGGTCACAGTTAGCCGACCATCGTCGCACTAAACATTTCCTAATAACTAACTTCAAATCTAAATTGGGCAATCATTTTCCTGCTTTCATCTTAGGTTTATGCACAACATCATGAAGCCATCCTGGTGATAATCTTATTGTGCCGCTCCTTTATCAGTGTGCCCAACTATTTACATTTACTGAGAGTATATTGATAGATATTGTGCACTTAACGTCTTATATCAGAGACTAGCACTTTTTTCTAAAGAATTTATATATTCTTTTACCGCATTGAGTATTGTTTATCATTAATAAGTGATATCACTCCTCGTTATCAAATATTTTTTTATATCTTGATAAGTTAAGAAAAAGTTCTGTTGAAATTTAGTTTGAAATATCTTATATTAAACAATTCACCATTTCGCTTATTAAACAATAACTTTTATTTGCCTTTTGGAGATATCCGTTCCATCCATTGCGAATAATAGTTATTTAAATAGTTTCTATCCTCTCTTAGCAGTTGTATCAAGGTATATTTATTTATCAAATATTTTATTTTAATTGACAATGTATAGAAATTTGGTGAAAAAAGCGCTGCATTAAAATACACTTTTTCACAGTATGAAGTCCGTTGAGCTAACAGCTGAGAGCTCTTGGGAGTCAATTCTTGTTTGAGGCGTGAAACGCTTAAATCTTTAATTGGGATGCATATGAGAGTGCAAAATCTTTTACTTGGGCAAGTGTATGAAAATTGGAAAGGAGTCCAATAAAATTAGAGGCAGGATGTGTCAAAAAGTATTCGAAAATGTAGTCTGGGAGGGGGTGGGTGGGGGTGGGGTGGAGGGGGGCAGAAACAGTCCCAAGTTATTTGAATTGGGCAAGCTTTATTACTTCGCTATTGTACTTTATTTTAGTACAGTTAGTGCGTATTGTCCATTCGCAAATATGGTGGATTGCCTCCCTGGTAAATTTATGGGTAAGACTATGTTGACGATGGGCAAATCCTGCTAATAGCCGTGTTTAATTCCGTAGTGTATCTTATTATTGCTAACAGAAGGTGGTTGATACGGTATATTTTAATATAACAGCACTTAATGGACTTCATTCATTTTTTGTTGCATAATTTCCTTACATGATATCTTCTTAAGGTTTGTTTAAGTAAGCATGGATCGTCGGAAATTATTTGTTTGTAGGTGTCTCAGTTTAGAAGAATGATTTCAAATATCTACCTCATTAACTCTATATATAACCTATAACTAACAACTTGTCAGAATAAGATAAAAGTATATGTCTACCTCTTTTATAGTTTATTAGTTTTAATTAAAATAGTTTTTTTTAAATTAATAAACTTTTCGTAACCTTAGTTCTCAGTGACTCCTCAAATATCAACTCCAAATGGAATACATACTAGTCCAACAGTAAGTGTGAAAGCGGCAACTTCAAATAAAGTTCTAACGGAGCAGTTCATTTCAAATACGACAAGGAAGGTCAATGGAAAGACATTTGTTGACGTTGCAAAAGAAGAACAAGTAAATGGAGTAAAAGTTAATGCCACCGTCTCGTTTCGACCTAGTGCTGTTGGGAAACAAAGTATAGCAGGGTCAGATAAACGAACCTCAGAACTAGCACCCATGAGGAACAAATATGACAAAAAACGTGAAAGAAATTCACCACATTCTGTCAACCTTGATGGTTTAAGTGAAAGGAGTGGAAAGAAAGTGACATCTGCTAAGAAGCGTTCCAGAGACCCAGAAACATATAAAGGAACGTCTCAACTAGTGCCTATGAGGTCATCATATGACAAATCTTCGAGAAAACATGGAAGAAATACACCTCTTTCTGACAACCTAGATGGTTTAAGTGAAAGGAGTGGAAAGGAAAGGACATCTGTTAAGAAGCTTTCACAATCACCTGAAATATACAAAGGAAGATCACAAGCAGCGTCAATTAGGACCACATATGATAAAACTGCGGAACAACAAGGGAGAAATCAACCTCAATGGGGAAAATTTGACGGAGAAAAGGAAAGTAGGGTAGGGAAAATGACATCTTTAGAGAAACGATTTAAAGCCCCAGAAACAGATAAAAGAATATCTGAGGCATTGCCAATGAGGACCACACGAGACAAATCTCTGGAGAAACAAGATAGACATCAACCTCAATCTGACAAACTTGATGGAGTGAAGGAAGGTAGAGGAGGGAAAATGGAATCTGATGAGAACCGTTTAAAATCAACTGAAACTGTTAAAGGAAGATCTGAAGTTGAGACCAAGGGGACCACACATGACAAATCTCTGGAGAAACAAGATAGACATCAACCTCAATCTGACAAACTAGATGGAGTGAAGGAAGGTAGAGGAGGAGAGATGGAACCAGATGAGAAACGTTTAAAATCCCCTGAAACAATTAAAGGAAGATCTGAGGTTGAGACAAGGAGGACCAAACACGATGAATCTCTGGAGAAACAAGATAGACATCAACCTCAATCTGACAAACTTGATGGAGTAAGGGAAGGTAGAGGAGGGGAAATGGAATCTGATGAGAAACGATTGAAAGTCCCAGAAACAGATAGGGGAACATCTGAGGTTGAGGCAAAGGGGACCACACATGACAAATCTCTGGAGAAACAAGGTAGACATCAACCTCAATCTGACAAACTTGATGGAGTAAAGGAAGGTAGAGGAGGAGAGATGGAACCAGATGAGAAACGTTTAAAATCCCCTGAAACAATTAAAGGAAGATCTGAGGTTGAGACAAAGAGGACCAAACACGATGAATCTCTGGAGAAACAAGGTAGTCATCAACCTCAATCTGAAAAACTTGATGGAGTAAAGGAAGGTAGAGGAGGGGAAATGGAATCTGATAAGAAACGATTAAAAACTCCAGAAGCAGATAAAAGAATATTTGAAGTATTGCCCCCAAGGACCGCACGAGACAAATCTCTGGAGAAACAAGGGGGGCATCAAACTCAAACGGACAAATTTGATGGAGTAAAGCAAAGTAGAGTTGGAAAAATGACATCTTTAGAGAAACGTTTTAAAGCCCCAGAAACAGATAAAAGTATATCTGATGTAGAGCCACTGAGAACCACACGAGACAAATCTCTGGGGAAACAAGGGAGATATCAACCTCAATCTAACAAATTCGATGGTGTAAAGGAACGTAGAAGGGGTGAAATGGAATCTGATAAGAAACGTTTGAAAGCCCCTGAAACTGATGTTTTCTTAGAGGAAATTCATAGTTTATCGAATGAACGCCAAAAAGCTGGATCGAGAGAGGCTGTTTTCCAAGAACAGGCTGATACTTCTGTGTCTTCTGTACCCATGGATCCCCTTGTTAAATCGAGTGATGTCAAAATGTCATTGGATGGAGAAGTTGATGGTCAGGAACGGAAATCTGATGTTACGAAATTAGGCGAAAAGCAATATTTGGCAGCTTCAAATATGACTCCAGTTGTTCCTGGTCGTTTGAAATTGCCAATTAGTGCTCCGGTAAAGAAAACGAAGCGATTTGACCCTAGATCTCACAAACAAGATGTTTTGGAACAAAAAAGAAAGAGTAATCCTAGTAAAGAATATTTCAAGGCGTTGAATCGAGATAAAATAGGTCAGAAATCATTTCCTGGTCACGTGGAAGGCACAAGTCTGCCGAAAACAACCCCAGTGGCATCTAAAGTTGACCCTAACTTTGAAAGCAAAAGTAAAGGTGAATTACCACTACTCAAAAACATTGATGATCATAATACTGGAATATCAATTCATTCAAACTTTCATCCACGAGACAGAACTGATGATTCCCCTGAAGTTTTGAAACGACCAATTACAAGCCACGAAAGTGCTATAAGATTGAATAAAAGTTCACCTAGGCCTAGTAAGCTTGAATTAAGCATAGCGGTTGATGAACCTGGTGGGGAAGTTCGATCAGAAAGCGGTTTATCTTTAGATATTAATCTTCCAGATTTAAAGATGTCTATTAAAAAACCAACAAGGCATAAAAGTGATTCAAAAATTGATAGATCTGCTAGACCTCTTGATGTAGAATTGAAGATGTCTCCGCCTGAAAAGAGCCCTTTAAGAGTCAAATATGGGTCACTTCCTTCTTTGAATGTGTTCCTAGAAGACTTACCAGATGAAGGCAAATTTGAGGCAGAAAAATATGAATCACCTCGGTCTATTAAAAATTTTGGGTCTAAACTTAATTCTGCTGGACGTGAATTGCTTCCGGATGTTCCTACAGGCTCTATTGCACATCAGAGTACTGATGGGAAAACTAAATCTGTGGAAAAAATTGGCTTATTTGAAGCGAATGAAAAACATTTTAAAGATCCTTCCGCTCAATTTACCTCTGAAGAAGGAAAACACATGCCAACTACTCATTTTCAACGATCAAAATTATTTAGGTCTAAAACTACTTCTAAAGATATGGATACGACTTTTGATGACACAATAGATTACAAAGAAGACAGTAAAAGTGACAGGGTTGTCAAACCTGTTCCTGAAAGACTCAAACAATTGGAATCTAAACCTGATTCCTTTAAAACGGCCAGAACGCAAGTTACAGGGGAATCTGAACAAAACTCCTGGATGAAAGGATCTGTACAGAAATTTGATTCTCTTGAAGCCGGACCTTCGCGGAATTTACATCCCGTGCAAAGTATGAAAAGAGATAATGAGATTACGGGTTATTCTCCAAAAGAAGGGCAGGCAGGCACTTTAGAAGCTCATAAGGATAAACCTACTAGAAACATTGATGAATATCCCGTTGATGCTGGAACAAAAAAATCTTTAAAATTTGGTGTTGACGTAGTTTCTGAAAAATCATCAAACGGTATCGAAAAACATGGTCAACGGAAAATCGGAGATAAAAACTTGCACATTATGGATGATCATCTAGCTCCGGCGTCTAGCAGCAAGAACGTAGGCATGACTGAAGTTTCACAAACTCAAGGAGCGTTACTGAAAAATACAACTTTGAAAATTGCTAAACCTTCATCCTCCCTAATGCCTCGTCCTGTTCAATCACCAAATTTTTTGGCAAGATCGAATTTAAAGTCAGGTTCTAGAAGTCCCTCTGTCTCTCGTGGTGCTAGTCCTATTAATTCATCTGGATCAAGATCCCATATACCTTATATACCTTCCGATTTGGTTAAGCATCTTGAAAAATCAGCTGAGTTGAATAGGAATGTACCGGCTATATCCACTTCAAAATTTAAACCAATTTCTTCTAGAGATGCCTCTTCAAAGGGAAATCGTTCAGTCTCACCTGCTAAAAGGCCTAATTCATCTTTATCAAAAAATGTTACACCAAAAGATGCAAGATCTCGCGATCTAAGCTTGGAAAGTGGTAAAGCGACTGAGATTGTTTCTCCAAGATTAAGAGGATTGACAGATAATTTCGCGATTGATTCAAACAAGCGAATGAAAAAGTTAGCTACATCTCCTTCAGCATCCAAACCCGTTTCCAAAAGTTACGATGGGAAGGGTGTTTCAGATATCCTTTCAAAGTATAAGCCAGATCAGAAGGGAAATCTATCTCCAAGTGAAATTCCAATATCTCCTACACCGAGGCCGATTTCTCCCAGTGTTGAGGAAAAGCCTATTGTAGAAGAATCCTCCAAATACAACCTTGATAGAAGAGGTAATCGATCCGTTTCACCCTTATCGCAACATAGTTCTTCTTTGGAAAGAATTAGTAGTTCTATTAAAAGGGGAACGTCAGCCCAGCCATCCCCTACACCTAGGGAAAAGAAAGTTGTATCTACTTCTGCTAAAATTCATAGAGATCTGGTTTCAAGATCAAGTTTGGCTTCAAAAGTTCTAATTTCTCCAAAACCCTCTGGTGTATCACCGCGTGGGAAAACTTACAATAAGGAAATTGCTGGTTCTTTGGAGATCGCTCCAAAGAAAAAGGTTAAAGGCAAATTTGCTAATGGAAAACCGAAGTCGCCCTATTCTGCCGATGCTTTTGGAACTCTGAAAACGACTGGAAATGCGTCTCAACTCAATAAATCGACTGGATTAGCAAAACAACGTATTCCACCCACCCCAAGGATAGGAATTTTAGATGATTTTCACGCGACTTCACTGCTCGCTAAAAGATCTCCGAATGCTGTAATTAAGGGTCCTGCGTCCCGAAGCCTAGATAAAGTACGAGGTAATAGATCGAAATCTCCCATCGGCACAAAAAGTAACCAACGCAAGAATATACGAAAGAACATTTCTGTGGGTTCTGGTCTGAGAGGAAAGAGTTCGAGATCTCCTGATGTTAAGTCTGATCAATTAGATGCCGCTATTGACAGTGAAACTGGAGAAGCGAAAGAAGAGTTACCTGGGTTTCCAAAGAAGGATTCATCACTTATTGGCCATTCTAAATCTGACAGTGATGGTTTAGAAAATATGGAAAATATCGAGGATATGGTGTCTAGCATTTCAGTTGCAGAGGAAGCTGGTGCTAAGAAGGTGGAAGTCATCAATAATGTGATTGCAAATACTGAAGAAAGAGCAATAAAAAACAATAGGAGACCAAATGTCCACAGTGCTAAGAAAGCAGCTACTTCTGCTAAGAAATCACCCAGAACTAAATCCCCAATTGGAACCAAAAGACGTTTGAAAACTCCTAGACGACCAATACGTTATCGTTCCCAATCTAAAGTGAGATTGCCAATGTGGAAAAGAAAGCATGCTGTTAAAGCAAGGTTTCATACGCTGCCGAAACTGAAAGACAAAAATGCAGACTTGAAAAGAGGAACGCCTGTTTCTAAACCGAAACCGACGGCAGCTTTACCTGATTCTCCCACTTCTGAAACCAACTCAAGCCTTTCGAAAAAGGTGAAACTATCTCACAGTTCAAAGGTGGGTCTTGTAAGACATAGTATCAGCTTTTCGTGTGATTTAATTTTCATTTCTTTCCGGATGTCTCTTTTCAGGGAAGTGAATCAACGTTGAGTGTGAGTGGGGGACGATATAATACAGTTACTCCTACTTATATACCTCCTCAAAATGAAGGGACTGATTCTTCGGCAAACTGGTGGGTAGTAATGTACTGAACTTATCTTAATTCTTTAAACCCCTCCGTTTTATATGGTGAAGAAAACATAAACTTTATTAATCGAAGTTAAGTAGTTAACTATTATGCAAGTCTGTTATAATTTTCGTTGGTTTTTATTAGCATAATATTTTGATGTACGTATAAGATAATGTCTGCTGGTTGCTACAGTATATTCACACCAACGACAAGCAGTGGTCGACCCCTTCCTTGATCATCTTTGAAAGATTGATCGCTGTTGTAGAAAATAATTGAAGCCCTTGGATGATTTTATTTCCTCCTTTTAAAACACCATTGATGGTCGCTTATTACTTATCAATATATTAGCTATTATGGTATAAATTTCTTAGGATAATTCAGTATTTACTAAGTCTGTTGGTTTGCGCCAAAGTAACCTATCTCCATTCCTGCTACTTTGTTGTTCGTTTCTCGACACTAGGACTCTTGAGCTGTTCGAAGCCCGAAGCCCACAAAGGTTGGTAAAAGTTTGGATTTTAACCTGTTCGCATCATTTCATTAAAGGATTGTGTTTATTTTTGTGTCACAGATTTCATTAGATTTTTTAACGTTAATTGTAGGTCGCCTAGAAATTTTGCCCGATCAGAACCAATTTGCGATGGCCGAAGAAAACGGTTGTAAGCTTTTAAAACTATGCTAATACATAAGTTGGTTTTGTGAGTTAAAACCCACTCTGATGATGACATGTGTTTTGTATAGATATAGCTTGCAGGTAGAAGAGGTACTTGCAACAAATTTCCCATTCGAGCGATTTCGCATTAAGGTAGATATTATGAAATATATGAAAGCATTTAGTTAGATAATGTTTGCTCGCATTATCTTGTTTCTATTTTATTATAGAAGAAGCCATATTCGGTTCCTAGGAATTTGTATCATTGATGTGGATGGTTCCCAGCTTGTAAGAAACTTTCAATTCCTTGGATAGCGAGAAGATGAAAGCAACCTTTTGGTGTTTACAATTTGCGGTGAATACTTTGATCGGCTGTCTCTACTTAACCATATTTTCTGAAATGATGGTTCATTTCATTTGCATTTTCGTTCCCTTTAAATGCTTTTGAATTGTCTACCTTAGATAAATCTTCAATTAGCTCAAGAGGAATTTGTGTTATATTGAATAAATTCTTCTTTCTTTGTTATAATTTAAGTTTTGCATTATTTATCTCGAGTTACAAGAAGAAATTGATACGGTGGGATTCACGACTTGAACTGGCTAACGGCCGATATGAGGTTTTGTGATGCTTAAATGGAATATTGGTTCATAAAACGCGTAGTCAAATAAGTCTGCTGGATTATAAAAATATCTGCAATGTGGTCAAAAGTTTTGAATTTTCACATTATTGTTGTCATCATAATTGTGGTGTCTTCAAATCAACGGTTAAAGGTTAAAAAGTGATATATTTTGTTAGACTTTTCTTAAATAGTAAACTTCGTTCAAAATTTCGCATTGAATTGCAATATTTAAAATACAAAATGATTTTAGTTTATTTTTCAAATCTTATAATATGAAGCTCTGGAAATTTAAATGATAGTTTTATTTCTTTAAAAATCTTTTCTACATCAAGAAGAATAACATTATTGATAAACATATATAATTTTCTAACAAAGCTTTAAACTGATCGTTAATAATTTCGCAACTAACTTGAGCTCGCTTTTAAGTAATGTGAAGATTGTTGGTCAGTGTAGCTGATGTCAGTCCAACAGTCATTGTTAAAATTTATGAAAAGACCAGCGGGAGGTAACTCTCCCTTAGAGGGGTCAAGAGAATCTAAGATTCGCAAATCCGAATGTCAACTCGCATCAGTTACATCTGAATGCACAAAAAGCATCGAGTCGCCCGATCGTGCTAAATTCCGAGTTGAAGTCAATAAATCCGTCGCCGAAATGAAATTAAATCTCCCTGGTTCCGTGAAAACCCTTATTAAATATATGAATGCCGAGTGGTGTTATCATTTATCTACCGTGATTCAAAGTGAATCATTCAAGAAATTAGCGAATTTTATTGAAAATGAGCGTTTAAAGGGGACAATTTACCCTCCTCAAGACGAAGTAAGTTGTGATTTTCCTCCCTTCACAATGACTTCTTTAGGTTTTTACTTGGAGTAAGTTGACTCCCCCTGGCAAAGTGCGAGTGGTTATTCTTGGTCAAGATCCTTACCATGGTCCACACCAAGCTCATGGCTTGGCTTTCTCAGTAAAACGACCCCAAAGACCACCTCCTAGTTTAGTTAACATGTACAAAGAGATCGCTTCGGATTGTTGCGACTCTATTCCGTCTACTTGGCCACCACCGCACGGGGATCTTACGCGATGGGCAGAACAGGGTGTTCTTCTGCTTAACGCTGTCCTTACTGTTCGAGCTTCGCAGCCCAATTCGCATAAGGACCAGGGTTGGGAAAGTCTTACTGGTGCTGTCGTCAGGCATATAAATCAAAATTGTTCTGTAAGGGTGTATTTTATTTCTATCAATATGCAGCTTTATCTTAAATTTTATAAATTTCCGCACCTTTAAAAATCTCGGCTGGGGTATCGCTTTTTTCATCTAATTAACTTTACTTAAGCCCTCATTTTACCATGCAATTTTCTATATTCTATCAAATTAAATTCAATTACTAAATTCCAAAAATTAGCACGTATCATTCAAACCTATTTAATCGAACGTTTTTATTTACCTATCTTGCGTATTGGGGCTGTTTGTAAAGCCTCTTTAAAACCTGATTGGCTCTTCAAAATACCATGCAAAAGCCAGGACTCAACTACGATATATTTGTTCAACTTTTGTAAAAGACTATGTTTTATTGGCTCAAAATTTTCTTCACATGCAAATTATTCAATTTGATCGATTAACCTTCTTCTGAAACTTCATTCCTTTACTGCCCAGACGTAATACTTGTGGCCATTCATCTCGCTTAATGGTTACGGACCGATGGGCATTGAATTCATAAATTCTGAGCAGATTCTTTTTTACAGAATGTTGTATTCCTACTGTGGGGTGCGAATGCCCAAGCTCAGGGTGCTGGAATTGATAAGAAAAAGCATCTAGTTCTCCAAGCTCCTCACCCATCTCCCTTTTCCGCCAATCGTGGATTTTTCGGTTGTCAACATTTCAGCAAAGCCAACGCCTATCTCAAGGAACATGGGCTGGAAACCATCAAGTGGACTGATCTCGGCTGAGAAGGCATCTCTAATCCACCTATCTTCCTTTCAAATATTATATTAATATTTTTATACTATATCAAATTATAACGCATTTATTGATAAGTGACATTTATTTTTTTACCCTCTATCGAGTTTATATGTCTATAAGTATTATCTTTCTAATAAAATATCAACATCTCTTTCCCCGTGCAGCTTGTGTGCGTCTTGAATGTAGATTACTGCGTCTAGTGGATGGAATGTTTAATTCATTTATAATGGTACTGAATTCAATATATTCAAGTCAATGTCAAGTTTCAGAGCAAAACTGGTGATATCGGTTTCTTACTCAGCGTAGCAATAATAGATGCCAAGTCCTTGGTCGCCCGATGAAGGTACTTGCTAGACGTCATTAAGCCACACTTTGATCAAGCTCAGTCTATAAGATTCTACTGTTGCCAAAATCTCCGTGTGAATGAGAAGAGTGAAAAAGGTACTGCCTAGGGACAAAGTGCACTATGTATTGGAATAGGGGCTCTTGGGAGAATCAGCTGCGGCCTTATCCTTGCATATTCATATCATCCGCGTAACCCTGGGCTATAGTCTACAGTTCTTTCCACTTGGAGGGGATGTGCTGATAATGTGAATAGAACGGGATTAGGAGGGTTAATGAGAGACCATTATGATTGGCTAAAGAGACCATGAAAGTAGACCGTAGAGGTTAGTCAAGGGGTTTTAAATTACAATTATTGCTTGAATAAGGGTTAGTTTTCCTAATTGGCAGTTGAAGGTCAGCCAGCTTCTGATCGATAAGAGCTTCGTCAAGGACAAAATACTGCGATGTCAAAAGTTTCATTTTCTAGCAGATTGAAATTTCTGACAGAGAACCAAGTGAGTTCACCTTTCTGTTAATCACAAAATTGTTACTAAAAGAAGATTTAGCTACAGACGGCTAAATAGAGTAGATTAACGTGTAATAGAGGAGACCAATATTTTCATAAAAGTACAGGTACACTGCAGTTGTGTCTGTGTTTGTTCAAATCACGCTCAATGGCACGGTGGTATCATCCTGTCGGCTTTACCGCTCAAGAAATTCTTTCGACCAACCTTGGAGGAGATGTGAATAAGGTGTTACGGTTAATAAATTGTAATAAAGTTAATCATGTTATCTATTTATTTATATCAAATGGCAGGCGTTTTGATAGTTATCATTAGCCC